AATAATGAATAATGTAATCGTAATGAGTGTATTACTATTTGCCACCTTCTTTAATGGGAATACTTTACTGTTGCTTTTCTCTTTTGTGACTTTAATCAATTGGGCCACTCATGTGTAGTTCCTTAGAAAAAGTGCATTTGTTTATGGTGTACTTGTACTTAGTTGGAGCTCCTTGTGCTTATTTCTCGATATATATATATATATATGGGAAAATTTCAAATTAGAGCCCCAAGTGAGTGCATTTTCTCAAAATGGGGTCTTAAGTGTAATGAGTCCCAATTTGGTACCCAAAGTGCCCAATTAATCTCAAATTGGTGCATGAATTCGCCGGCAGGCCGAATACTTACCAGGGCCGCTCCGGTGAGGGCAACCCTCCCCGACGTCGGTGAGGGCAAGGGTCGTCCTCGCCTTCCCCGACCGGCGAGTACGGATCGACTCTCGGCAACATCTTACTCACCAAACCTCCAATCCCCACCGCCACACTTTGCTCTGTGTCCGGCAACAAGTCCTGCAGAAGACGGACACGACGACGGAGCTGTGAGCAAGCGCGATGCGGAGCTTGCCCAGACCGACGGCGTCGTCCTCCCGTGCTCGCCGATTGGGACCCACGTCGGGGAGCCGGTGGCAGGAGAGGTCGCAAGAGGCGTAGAGGTCTCGGAGGGCGTCGGGGTCGACATGGCCGGGTCTCGTGGAGATGTAGATGGGGACCGACGATGGCCCGTTGACGGTGGGAACTGCAACTTGTGCGGCTTGCAGGTGTTGGTGGGTCTCTTCGCCCACCTCGGCTCCATGGTTTTGGAGAAGTTGGCGTGATGGGTCATCTGCTTCGAAGAGGCCACGGACGCCATTTTTGCTTGACGTGAATCTCCTCCTCTCTCGCCAGCGTCAGCGAGGGCGACCCTTGCCCTCGCCGATGTCAGGAAAGGCTGGGCGACCCTCGCCCGACGCCGGCGAGGACGACCCTCGCTGGGGCGGCCCTCCCCGACGCCGGCGAAGGCAGCCTCCGCTGGCCCTAGGGAAGAGATAAAAAAAAAAAGCAGAAAAAAATTAAAAAATAAAAAATTACTGTTCCGGCTACCGAAACAGTAAAAACTCGCCGGCCGGCCAACCCAGGCACCAATTTGAGACTAATTGGACACTTTGGGTACCAAATTGGGACTCATTGCACTTGGGACCCCATTTTGAGAAAATGCGCTCACTTGGGGCCCTAATTTGAAAATTTCCCTATATATAAATAGCCCCGAGCGATAGCCCTGGATATCTTATTATGTCAGGTGTTTTCGGGGTTGTTGATCGAGTCCGACGGTAAGAACTTGGCAAGTTCCATCAATGAATCATGATTTTGTTGGTCTCTAGGATTCAAACGACGAAATTGCAAAGACGCCCAGAAATGTTACCATACTTATTGCCCCTCTCTCTCTCTATATATATATTATTTGTTCCGAGCGTTATAAGATATACGGAATGAGTCCTTACGTACCTAGGATTATGGACAATTTCTAATAGTATAATGAATTCTCGTTTCGACATGTTAAGTCAGTAAGGAAAAGGAGACACCAAATACCTAGAAAAACTGTGTATTTAGACAATGCAGAACGTATTTTAGTAGATGGGAAGTCGGAATCTCCATGCTCCGAAAATCGAACAATTGACGAAATGAAGAAAAGGCGCAATAATGACAAAAAAGTCGAGTTCTTTCATAATCGTGTCCAAGAAAATTGCCACCCAAGTTACATTTACGTGCTCTTCCGTAGGCTTGAATTTGACACGATTTGACACAATGTGACCTGTGAGAATTGACAAACCAACTGCCTCCTCATAACCAGCCATAAATACCTTTGTAATCTCATGGACGAATCAGGCGAAACCACATTGAACGGTTACTTAAAAAAATAATCGAGACATAACATTTCATATCGGAGTAACAACAACACGAATGATCCGTAAATTTTAATTCAATGTATAATATTGTCCCTAAATCTTTTATTTGTGCGATTTGAGCCCCGAACTTTAATCCAACGTGTAATGTCGTCTCTAGACTTTTGATTTGCTCAATACGGTCCCTAAATTATTAGTAAATATTTGATGTGATCTCTAAATTACACGAAAATATTTACAAGTTCATGTACCACATTGAATATTAAATCAAAGTTCGGGAACTACATTAAAAAAAATTAAAAGTTCAGGGATTACATTACACATTAAATTAAAGTTCATTGACCATATTAAATAAATTAAAAATTCGAAAAATCACATCACACATTCATCAAAATTTAAAGATTATTTGCGTCATTTTATCTTATACGTCTCCAAAATACCTCCTTCTTTTTTGGTCCAAACTCCAGATCCGATCTTGCAAAAGATACGTCGAAGTTCCTTGCAAGCATTTATTTTTATTGCGTCTAAACTCGATTTTCCGGTTGGCCAAACGAGAGCCCACGTGTAGACCATACGACGGCGAAGCCGTATGTACGGTCACGGTCACGGCGAATTTTTTTAATTTTTTTTACATTTTTAGTTTTTTTTTATTTTTGTTTTTTTTTCTTACTAATTCGGATGATTGGGGGGCATGGGAGCAATGATTGAAAATCGTGTCCTTTACAGCAAAAACCGAAACCATATGTTAAAAACACCGCCTTTAGGCGACACTTTGTCAAAAGAAAGGCCCTGGGTTTCACCCTTTTCTACCTTTTGCCCCCCAAGCACATACCGTAAAAGTTACAAAAAAGAAAGGGTATCGTAAAAAAAAAATTACGCGCGACTCTACACATCGATACGAGCGCCTCGGTGCGTCGCGAAATCTGAAAAGTAAACAATAAACAAAAGCAAAAAAAAAAAAAAGTAAAGATCGCTCTATCGCTTTGAGGAGATCGCGGTTGCTGCACGATTTTATGCAAAAAGCGAGAAAATTCCTATCGGAAAATAGGAGGGAGTCGTTCGGGAGGCCCCTCCGCCCCTCCTTCCCCACTAGACTTTTCGATTCTCATAATGCACCTCGAAAAGAATTTGCGAATGTTCATCGACAACATGCGCGACAATCTCTAGTTATTAGGTATCATGTCAAATAGGCCCAAAATTGCCTTTATTGCAGAGCTAGCAATGGCCAAAAATCGCTTTTCATGTCCATAGGTCTCATTGCAGGTGCCCCCACTCCTCCCAATTCAGCCAATTTTCAATAAAAATTTAAAGACCATATATTATATAGATCCCGCAAGATTTTTGCCACACGAGTTGGGTTCTAGTATAATTTGGAGAATCATGATGTTGCATTAATCTTTCAGCCATAGCTTTATTAACCCTTTTGGCTTCAAGATCTAGCTATGCTTTTTGATTAGTCAATTGACGATCTATGATCGATTTGTGATGAAGTGGCTCGCATTAAAATATTGGCTTAATATCACGAAAAATCCCAAATTGATACACTCGTGATAAATTTACCATAAACTAATTTTTTTATCACAAAAAACTCCAAACTGGTATATCCGTGACAAATTTACCATAAACTAATTTTTTTATCAAAAAAAACCCCAAACTGGTATACCCGTAACAAATTTACCATAAGCTAATTTTTTTATCATAAAAAATCCCAAACCGGTACACTCGTGACAGATTTACCATAAACTAATTTTTTTATCACAAAAAACCCCAAACTGGTACGCCCGTGACAAATTTACCTTTGGTTACTTTTTGTTAAATTTTATCGTCAAATTGCTGAATTGGATGATACGTAGCAGTTGACAAATGTACCGGTTCGGGGTTTTACCCTTCATTTGTCACATGTGTACTAGTTTTTTATTTTTTGTTGCACTAATCCAATTTAACGGAAATTAATGGAAAGTAGATTTGTCACAAGTATACTGGTTTATGGTAAATTTATCATGGTTATACTAGTTTGAGGTTTTTCGTAGTACTAACCAATTTTTATACAACTTCTATCGAGTATTGTATGAAAATCCATGATCCCATCAAACTAGAGAAAATATCGACATTAAGAAGCACCGTTAATCTAATCAAACTTGCGGTTGAAGTCCAATAATTTAGTAAATAGAATTCAGTTGCACAAATGCTGAAATCTCAGAAATTATAATCCCTCGCGAAAATTAAAGAAAAATTTCCATTTTTCATCAGTAGTGGAAATAATGAAAACGTAGAGCCCGCCTTTGTGTTTTTGGGCATTCCTTACTCGAGCCAAACCATTGATTGCGTTAATTCATTTTGAAGGTCAGGCAACCCAAATAGCAACGGGTGTGTTGAAGACAAGTAAACACAACTGCGTTTGGTTGTCCGGATTTCTAAACAGGATAGGACTGGATATGATAGGATAAGAAATCCTGAGATTTTTTCATATCCTATCCACTGTTTGATGGACTACGGATTTAAAGTCGGATAGGATAATTTTTTTTTTCTATTCACTGGTCCGGAGGAGTCGGTGAAGGAAAAAAGCCGAGAAATTTTTTTGGTGAAAGCGCACAAGGTGTGGGAATGAAGATGACGGCGAGTGGAGCGTAGGGTTTGGAAAAATAGGCATTAGAAATCCTATCCAGGTCTATCCCACCCCCTCAGATTTTTTATCCGGCCATATCCACATTATCCTATCCTGGACCACCACCAAACACGGGATAGGATAAAATATGTCATATCCGCTTTTATCCTTGGCCGACCAAACGCATGACCAACCGTGCGCGAACGATTATAACAAATCGCGACTTTTTAAATAAATTCAAAACATGGCCTTGTACATCGAATTTAAAAAAAAAAAAAAAAAAGAAAGCAAATGACAAAGAAGGAAGGGAAACGAAAAATGAAAAATGAAAAAGAAAGCGCCCACCGTGGGGCTCGAACCCACGACCACAAGGTTAAGAGCCTTGCGCTCTACCGACTGAGCTAGACGGGCTTCTTGATGTATGGTTACATTTAATTTTAATTTAGTTTTAAATTTTCGGAGGCAACCTCGTCCAACGGGTTGAACCCTAATTGGCCCCTAAAACCTCGACGTCACGTCCCTTCTTCCTTCCTTCATTTTCTGCTGCGGAGCTTCAGAGAAATTTGGTGGGTGGGTAGGAGGAGAAGAGAAGGATGGTGTGGTTCCAGTGCGAGGATTGCGGCGAGAACCTCAAGAAGCCCAAATTGCCCAACCACTTCCGGGTCTGCTCCGCCTTCAAGGTAAGGTTTGTCTCAAGGAAGGAAGGAAGGAAGGAAGATAGGAAGATGGATCCTTCAGTTTCCGAACGCGTGTTGTCTGTGTCGGCTGTGCTGACGATCTTTCTCCCCCACGTGTATCTTGCAGCTGTCCTGCATCGACTGCGGAGAGACGTTCAGCCAGCAGAGCGTGCAGGGCCACACCCAGTGCATCACCGAAGCGGTGCGTCTCTTGCGCATTTCGATCGCGTGGTTGTTTGGGAAAATCTTGACCGTCTTGTTAGCTTCATGTCGAGGAGGAGTTAAAGATTAGATCTTTGAGAACGTTTCCGCTTGTCCCCGGTTGTCCCGTCGGCATTCTTGCTCTGATGTCTCGTGTTCCTCGGCGTTCTGCTCGGGATTCTTTGTTTTTGAGTCTTCTCCCTGCTCGAGTTCATTGTCGCATAGCATTGTGTCGTTCTGCCAATTGGGTATGGCATGCCGGAGTGCTTCTAGCTACCGATGAAGTGGCGAAAAAAAGAGAGTAGCTTTGGTGTTGCTCGCGGGCGCATTTTGTTTAAGTGCTCCACGTGTTGTTAGATCGAACTGTTGAATCCATCGTATTGGGTTATGGCTTTTCCTATTTATTTTTGGCCATCGTTTCCTTTTGTGAAGCGCGTGATGTGATGGGTGCTTTGATTTGCAGGAGAAATACGGTCCTAAGGGTCAAGGAAAGGTTTCGAATGGCACGCCTGCTAAGCCCAACAAAGATGGGAAGCAACAACCTGATTTCGACATAACGGTCGGATTGACTAAACGGCCTCCATGGTTTTGCAGGTATAGAGTTTTATGCTGATTTTAACCTATATGCGGCTATGTGATTGTATTGTCATTTCGCAACATCTGTTCTTATGGTTACGGGGAGGAATACTGATGCAGATTGGGCATTCGAACGGACTGGTCACGTTTGTGTTACAACCGGAGCATAAGTGTTTTTTTAAGTTTGAAATTGAATAGGACTGTCAGTTGGTGTTGTGGAGACACAGCTTTGGGCTGCACTCTTAAAGTTGGCACTCATCACTTACAAGCCAGAACTTGATTACTTCTGTTTAAGTTGCTGAAAGAATATTAAGCGAGTTTGTTCTAATTGTCCCTCGCACTTGAGATGAGATGTGGTTTTCATTCAGCATTTGGGTATTGTGCAGTCTTTGCAACACGAAGGCCACTAGTGAGCAGACCCTGCTCCTACATGCTGAAGGGAAAAAGCACAAGGCAAAAGCACGAGCTTTCCATGCTTCGAAGCAACAACCTCAACAAAAACAGGAATCTACTTCTCCTGCAACACTTCCTCCTGAAGACGCTTCGAAAAGTAGCATAGGTGACAGTGAACACGTAGAAGAACCAAAGATTAAGGATATTTCTACAAGCGACAATGCACACGACAATTCCGAGGCAGATAAGGGAAACTTACAGTCAAGTAAAAAGAGAAAACACGACGGATCTGATAAAATCGATCATAAGAAGAAAACAATGCATGATAATCTCAATGAGGTTGGGGATGGGGAAGTCATCCAGGCTGAAAAAACAGAAGTAAAGAAAGACAAGCATCTTGCGACAGCCAGAGAAAACCAGGAGGATGCTTGTCATCCAAATGAAGATGGCAAGAAGAAAATAAAGTGGAAGAAGTTGATTAAATCCACTTTAAAATCTGTAAGTGTTTTCGTCTCGTCAGTTTTCTATCTTTTGATGTTTCAGCATGTTGTCAATTATTCAATGTTTGTCCACAGCTATGGTGTGAAATGTGTGGATAAGTTTAGTCTTGTGGCTTTTTTACCGAATTCGAAATTACCACTTCTGGAGGTATTTATTCCACTCTACTTGTGAAGCAGAGCCCAGATGGAAAGATGAAGATGAAAAAACTGAAGAAACTTGTCATGGAGGCTGTCAAGCAGTCCGGCATTACTGAAGATGAAAACCAGCTCAGCGAGAAACTTGAACGGAAGGTGAGAGTCATGAGATCACATTTCTCAATCCTGGTGGAGTGTAAAGCTACTTCTAAGCACTCGTTTCTTGCTTTCTTGTTGCAGATAAACTCTAGCTCAAGGTTCGCTATTGACAGCAAGAATGTTCGTCTAGTCGCTTCAGACTGAAATATTTGGTGACTGGCTAGTGAAAACTTCGCGCCATAGCGTATCATTTCTCGTATGCGACCACATAGCTGCCGACTTGTTCATTTAGTGCATTCTTTGCGAATCTATCAGAAGAACATTTTTGGGCATTTTTGGGTAGGAAGGTTTGCCTTCAGGTAGAGGATTTTGCTTTGTACCCCAGATTTGGGTGGGAATTTTGGAAGAGGGAGTTTATCCAGAGAATGATCGGGACATATAGATAAGAGTTATTGGACAAATTATCTGCAGAGAGATAGCAATGTGAGGAGAATTTTGTCGATTTTGTTTTGACAACTTGGTTCGTTCTTGAATATATGAAATCCTTTATGAACCACTTCAGTACTACCAGTCTTTCTTGGCACTTTATTGGCGATGTTCAGTTTGATGATTTATGGAAGATTGGAAATTTGGAAGCAACTTGTTCTTTAACATAATCTCTCTCTGTGGCAACCGTCTTTCCAATAATGTGACTCATAGCCATGTTGCTGTCCCCTGGTGATTTGTGGATTAATCTAAGAGATACAAAAAGTCGACAGGAACTGTCATTTTCCTGTAGTGTCACCTTGATGAACCAGAAACATACTTTCCTTTCCATTGCTGATCAAGGCAGAAAGGTTGTCGTCACTTGAACTGGATCTAATAAAGTCAGGAAAGTGGAATCTGGGGAACCATCAAGACATGATGGGGCTGGGAGCGGATCCGAGTAGATTTGACATTGAATTTATCCAACTACAGGTCGTTTAGGTTGAGCATCGAATGATTGTTTCTGTTCTTGCCAAATTTACACTATTAATAGACCATGGCACACATCAGTTACGACACGATTCAAGTCGATCGATCTGTCAATCTGCCTCGTGCTTTCTTGCCAAGGCTGTCCACAACTCCGACCGAGCCACAAGAAGAAAACGAAGTACAAGAAAAGGCAAAGAAAATTTTCACACAGTTGTGATCGGTAAGACATCATTCCCCACTTTGTAATATAAACACAAGCCAATACAAATTTCGAGTAAGCCTAATAATTAACGCTACTATCTTCTTGGTACAAGTAATAGCATGTTCATGTAGCATCGTTACTTCAAATAAAATAAGGAGATATTATTCCAGCGAGCATTAGTATGACCTTGAATGACACTGCTATTCTAATGGGTCAGGACAGTAGAATCTGACAGTGATCGAGGCACTGGGAGTGGATCCAATTGCATTTGACATTGGAGTTTTAACCAACTAAAAGTCGTTGAAACCGCATATTGAACGATATTTTCTATACTTCCCGAGATTATGTTACAGAGCATATTACACGTAAAATACCACACGACCCGAATCAACCAATCTGTCAATCCTTGTGCATTCTTGCCACGACTCCAACCAAGCCACAAGAAGATAACAGAGAAGTAGAAGAAAAGCAATGACAAATTTTATAATTCTATCAGTATTGTCTGGCTGAGATCCCTTGGTATGTAACTGTTCTCATAGCGCTACAATCGTGAGTTCACGGCGTCACTTTTGGCGCCGAGTTCCAGTTCCTTGCTCTCACGTTCTGGCCGTAAAACAATTATGTACACGTATATGACTTCTCCCTTTTCGAGTATTTTCATTCCAAGATCAACAAATCCTCGGTGAGGCGATCGAAATTCACCTGGTGAACATGACAAATGCGATGACAATGAGCAGCACAACCGAGCATACCATCGCCTGCGAAAGAAAATGCCACTGCTCAGTCCACAATGCTCTCCACGTAATTATGCCATCCAAATTGTATACACTTGCCATGAAAAGAAAGGATCATCTCGAGATTTATTTGCTCGGTGGTATCATCAGTCACGGAGCCTAAGAATTCCCTTTGGAATGGCCAATTACGACAACTATGTAAACAGCATCATTATTTGAGACTTCAAAGATGATTTATCAACCAAGCTCCTGCAAGAATTTCTATTTACATGTGCCTCGTGAATACTTGCATACTATCGCAATAAAAAGTCGGACTAAGTATTTCAAGAATTTCCAACTCTAACAGATGGTACTATAATCTACACCGTAGCAAAGTCTTCTGAGATGTATACTCTCTACATGAAAATAATAAAGAGAAACATGGTGGAACATGCAAGCAAAATTCGGTCTATAACACTCCACACGATAGACTATCAATTAAAAGCGCATTGGTGTAGAATTAACTTCTTTTTTTTTTTGGTCGGAGTGTAGAATTAACTCGCTAGTACATTTTTTGCTATATTTGACTACTAGAACGAAAAGCTTTTGCCACAAAGAAAGTCATATTAACAATTTCACCTCTAAAATAGTTGGTTTCCTTGATTCCAAGTCATCTTCAATAACATTAAAAATACCTTGAGGGCCGTTTCTTTTATAATGTTCATCAATACAATATATGAAACAAACTATTCTGGGGAGAGGATCCTCACTAGGTCCCCCTTCCTTGTCTTTAGGTATTATCGATCAAACTTGAGAGAGTAAAGGAGAAAAAGCAAACTGACCGCAATCTATGAGACTTAACTCAATCAAGACATCGAAAATCAGTCCCACTAACATAAACTCCTCCAGAATGCTGAAGCCTTAAAATCAAGTTCAATAACCAGCAGCAACTCTTAAGAAAGGCAATCCAAAGGCAGCATACAACCACCCACCCGCGCGCGCGCGGTGGCCAGGGAGGGTGAGAGAGAGAGAGAGAGAGAGAGAGAGAGAGAGAGAGAGAGAGAGAGAGAGATTACAGCAATAGCAGAAGCAGCGAGGCCTGCTCGTTCTCTAGGATCCTTGCGGTAGCAGTTTCCAAAATAGAGAAATGCAGCGTAGTACCACATCACAGGGCATGCGAACCCCAAAAGGAACCTGAACGTAGATGTATGCATGAGATATGAGATTGCCAATGCGAGGAACAAAAAATAACAGAAGATACTTACGAAAACCATCCAATCCCGCACCCAAAGCACGGTAGAGGTTTGTCATAGATGCCTAGCTGGGAATCCTCTGCATCTCTGATGAGGGTATATTTGCCTCTTTGATGGTCCGATACGTCTGGTTAAAGGACAAGTTACTATGATCACGAAACACCCAGATAATGTGGAATCAAACATTGCTGACCAAAGTTAAATGCCAATTGCAAGAACAGAACATGCAAGGGGAAGAAAAAGGGGGAACTGCCTGCCTTTGACAACTGAGTAAATTATCTTCACAGAAGCCGTGAACCATCGTGTTCCTCAGGAAATAAACATCCAAATAGTAGAATAAAAGACAAAGCTGTGTTGTTACAAGATTGTCTCCAATAGCTCCATTCTCTTGGTGTTGATTAAAACACTAACATTGGAGACCGCGACAACGCACATGCAAAGGCAAGCACTCGAAACAGAGAAGGTAACGGCATTAACTAAACTAAGGTTTTTCCTTATTTCTTTTATCAGTGATAACTGAACTAAGACTTGTCAACAGGGTTAAATATATGAGAAACATTAACTTGGAGTCCTAGCTTTAATAGTGGGATCAGACATACCAGTACATGATAGTAATACACATAGAGCAACATCTAAAACCAGATCATTGCACATTTGATTTGACGGGTCAAGAAAATCCTTACCCAGAACAAATAAAAACTTTTCTTAATCCATGACACTGGACAAAATAATGATTATGTAGATTAAGTCGGCATTTTGTTATTGAATAGAAGCAATGTCATTATGCACCAGTGTAGAAACTGCACACCTTTCGATCCCGAAAAATATCGAGCTGATGGCCTTAAAAGATCAAGATGCTTGTCAGAAACTGAACTAGCCATCTCAACAGCATTTCTTAAACCCTCTGTCTCCTCCATGGATATACCTGTGACATCAGGAAATGCAATTAATGTCAGGTAATCTCTTCAGAAAAAATGATTAAGAACCTTCCTACCAAGCGGGCTGGTCACGTGGCTCCTAGTACATCCCGCTTAATTTCATTACTAGCACAGAATTCTTTTTAAGATCAAACAGTGTCAGTTTACATAAATCGCAAAGAGGTAGGAGCCCTAGCTTTTCTGATTCATACTTTCACATTGGTAAACAAAGCCCACAAGCATTTGACGTCATTTATGAGTTCAAATGTCAAACTGAAACAAGTAAATAAATACTCGAAGAGTCCCCAGTAGAAAATTTTCAGTTAATGGCAGCTTCATTGCAGGTTTATTGTCATGAACATTACCATGATTTCGTAAAATCTAAAACCAATAGGAAAGGTGACTGCATCTGTTCATATGTAGTAATAATAATGTAAGTTTTACTTGCCAAAGCTCAATCCTTCTCCGTGGAAAAGTTGAACAAAATCATTCTTTAGCAGAAATCAACATCTGGCAGCTTTAATTTTCAATTTGGACGTTGCCACAGAAACGATGATGATTTGCTCGAACCAAAATGCAATGAGGAGGCTCAACTGCATTTACTTATAACTAGATCGCTGATGTGTGTGTTGGCAACGATGCTTCTGAATTTTTGGTTCTACAATCACTTGTAAGATTTCTCAGTAATTGGCTTATGCGGTACACAAATCATTCTAGTGCAGTCCACGCAGAAATAGAAAAGTCCACCAAGGTAAATTAATTGACGTCGATTTGCTTTTATCAAAAGAAGATATCAATGAACTGTAAAAGAAACAATGCCAGGGTTGGGACACAAATTTACTTAAAGCAAAGACAACAGATGAGAAACACCAGGAAGTCAATACTTTTGTCCATGTTTAGCGTGCTAATATATCTGGCAGGTTGATGCGCTCACTCCTCTCTGCTTCCTAGAATAACTGAAATAATTGAGGAAATTCATTGATGTTAATTTCCCACTGATCTTAGGCAGTCAAAGATGCTTCTAACTTCAAAAGTAACATGCTCTGAAAATGAGAAATTCAGAATTCAAAAGTTTTCTTTACTATAGGTTGAAAAGATATAGTCTCCGTAATTTAGAAAATCCTTGCACACCAAACTTTGTAAGCTTTCTTAGGATACATAGAAATATGAGTTTGAATGTCGACGAATTGCTGCAAAATAAGACAATCATCAATGTTTCTTTCGATTATTTTTCATTTAAAAGGATAACCACTCATTTTCTAGTTTCTAGAACTGCAGGCCTATCAGTCCTTCAGTAAATTGGGCATGTCTCGTTTCTGTAGGAGTGTGAATGGCACATTGGTTCATCCTCACCAGAGGTGAGTAGCAGGAAATAGATATTACCAACAGGAAAACCATGTCACTAGCCGCTGATTACACGAGCATCGAGCGTGCACCGTCGTGCATAATCTACAGGGAAAAAATGTAAAAACTAGCCACAAGTCTCATTCTATGAGTTACGTGGCATCTTTCCCTCCAGCTTTTATGATGCTAAGCAATAAAATCTTTTCAATTGCCATACGCAATGTTGTGCAACTATGAACTCAGGGAAATCTAATGCAAATGGCACATCAAAGGCTTGTTGAACTCTGGCTACAGTTTCCGGATCTTCATTTGCTCAAAGAAACATAGAAGCAAACAAGCTAACGAGACTCCGCAAATAGATGACTTCTTGAACCCAAGAGGCCACTAAGCACCACGAGCTCTAATCGCATACAAACACCTAAATGAAACCCCTGAATCCGCTACTTAATATACTCAACGTTTCAGAAAATCCATTCACACACGCCCACTGAGTTATCGTCTGTAAACCCAATTCATCAGAAAATTCCAGTGCCTGAACACCATGGGCTATAATTGGCAAAAAGAACAGGAAGATTCAAACCAAGCACACAACCGACACAGCAAAGAAGGCAGCTGAATCGCGTTTCTTGAACACCCAATTCATCAAAAAACAAGAAGTGAAAAAGGAAACAAAAATCTCCACACACCCATCAATCATCGAGGCCGACTCTACCTAACCCAGAAGCCAAATCATCGCCAGAGAGACAATTACCACGAGATCAAGCAATCAGGACACAGAGAGCAATCGGAACCTGCGGGAAGAAGAGGGAGGACGAGGGCTGTTTCAATCCTTCAAAAACGGAGCCTTTCTTGTCCCTCCAATTCAAGAGATAAGAAAAAGAGAACCCGAGACAAGGGATCTCAGCGAATTGGTGGAGTGTATTCAATGACAAGCATTAAACAACTGAAAACTGAAAGCCCAGTTCGAATCGAGTACTGGGTCTCTCCTCGTCCTGCTTTTGCTCGTTCACGCAAAGAGAAGAACGGTGTACATGCTTGTCGGGCTCGCTCAAAACGTATCTTCCGTGTACAGTTTGGCCAAGCGTACATATGGATAAACAATGATAAAAGCTTATCATTCCGACCACTGTGGAAATCATTAATGGAAAGGACGAAAGGAAATGAATAGTTCATCCACCTGGGGATGATCAGTTGTTCTTCACATGAAATCTGGTAGCTGAAGCTGCAGCCCGGATTGGCCTAAGGATCTGGAGATTCAACGCTGGCTTCTGCTGGCTTTGACGTGCGACGTGCAGGGACGAGATCCGATTGGTCTGTGTGACTCAAAAAACAGGAGAGTTGGGTAACCTTTGCGTTTCAGTTTTCTGGCCCGCGACAACCCGGTCGGCCATCATTGGGATTTTAATATGGGACTTATGTTGTTTTTACCTACTTCTGTGTTCATCCATGGAAATGACGTTTCGTTTTGCAAACTTCTTTTGAATTGACCGTGTTAGCTTCCATCTCGGTAGGGAAAAGTAAGAATGTAGCTTCGTTGGAAGAGATCGCGTGTTTGCGTTCGTCGAAGTATCGTCGGCGGTGCATAGAGTTGGGTGGATTACGCTTTCTTAAACCCGACCCGTGCAAGGCCGGTTCCCCAGGAACGTGGTACAGAAAACTCGAGGCTCGAGCCCTCCCGACGGCGGATTCGAGAAGATGAGGATTTCGACTCGATGGGATCGATCGATCACCGCACCGGCCCCGGGTCAATGGGCTTTTTGGGCTGCGTTTCGCCGGACGTGGATGGCGACCGGAGGGCAAACCTCGGAGAAATGGTCGCAGGGAGGGACCGTGTGACTCGGCTTCTTTCTTTTGTTCCCACCGGAAAAGTCAAAGACTCCAACCACCACCGACGGTGGACCCTTCGATTAGCTGCGGTCAGGCTCGCTTTCTTGTTGGCTCTAAAAATGGTAGGTTACTTCTTCGAGGGGACAATTTTTAGCCTGTGATATGTGATCCCGACTCGAGTGAAAGTAGATAATCCCGTCGTCGGATCATGCGGGGCTCATATGGGATCCTCAAGATCCATCGGCATATATGCAATGGGCTCGTGTGAACCGTGAGCACGTGTGTGAACCGCACGTGTCTTTGCTACCGTAGCTTTGCAATATTGTTTTCCTTTCTAGAAGCAAGAGACCTGATCGATTGAAGTTACATTTGCGAGAACGCGATACTTGCGATTAGGAACTCATCGTGATCGCGATACTTTAGAGACATGGCATGTTCACGTGGCGTTACTAGAGTTAGTGAATTATGGTCAATTTATATGTTTAAACTTACGTAAAAAAGCGATAGATTTGACTCGAAAGTGCAAGCGTGAGTACATTTTGAAAATTCTGAATAATCTACCTTCCCAGTAGTCCAACGCATAAAATTAGGGAACTTGGCATAAAGTAAGAGATGCAAAGTATAATTGTTAAAATCAGCACAGCGGGGTAACAAGAGAGAAAGGCTCAGGCATCTAGCTATACCTGCTAAAATCGGTTATAAATCCATTTTTTAATCGGTATTTGATGGGTCGAATTGTTATATGAGTTAGTTATATTTTGTAAATGGGTCATAAATGGATAAAGCTCAAAATAATATTGGTATTATACGGGTTCACAACTTTCTTATACTCAACCTACCTCTATGAGTCTCTTTCTCTCCCTCAAACTTGATCTCGAGCTCGCTCACTTTGTACTTTCACCTCAGTTTGGGTATTATTTTTCAAAAATTGTGTTAAATATGAAAGTGTTTTATCAATATATGTTGAGGTCGAGTATTGATCACTAGATTCCTATTGCGTGCAAATGGGTCAAAACGGGTTCGACCGGATCCAAACCCATCCCGATCCACCCATTTGACGGGCCTAGCGTCTACCGCGTTCCGCCACGTGTCGAATGCCGATTGGGTAATCCGGCCCGCTAAATTGTCACCAGACATGGAAAATTTGGACAAAGAAAATAGACGGCATGGGATGGCCCAACGGATGGGAGAGCGGGCGTTACCTGTGGGCCCCGCAAGGTCCATGGACCACATCGGGTCGTGCCCCAAGTTACTCCTCTTGCATTCTTTAATTCTTTTCAGTTTTTAATGACAGTATATATATATATATTATTTTCAATTTTATTTTTCCTTAAATTTTATTTTCACTCGTACTGTTCTAAAGTAAAGACGAAGCCCACTTTTTGCATCACAAGCTTTTGTTTTCCTCCTTCTTGTTCTATTTTCCCTTTCAATTTAATTCAATATTTTTATTTTTATTTTTTCCAATTTGGGAACGTCAAAAGGATATATAAATGTCAAGTCATCAGGGTGATAATGGCACAAGCAGTCCCCGAATTTTGGCCAAATGTGTAACGTGGCCTCTTAACTTTGATTTGTTCAATGCAATTCCTGAACTTTAGCTTAATGTTCAATGTAACCCATGAACTTTTAATTTGTTCAATGTGATTCATAGACTTTCGGTACGTGTTTAATTTAGTTTCTGAACTATATCAAAATATTCAATATAGTCCCTGAACTTATGGAACGACTACATTGAACATTTTCATATAGTTCAGGGACTAAATTGAACGCATACCAAAAGTTCAGGGACCTGATTGAACAAATGAAAAGTTTAAGGACCATATTGAACATTAGATTAAATTTTAGGGACCACATCAAATAAATTAAAAGTGCATTGACCAAATTGCACATTAAGCTAAAATTCAGAGATCATTTGTATCATTTTTCCAATCAACATGCCACTTATTTTCAACTATTAAATTTTTGTTACTGTTCCTTTTGGTAATGGTAATTCAACTTGATAGCATCTCCCCTGTCGAGCTCGAGATACTAGACCAAGAAAACAAGTCAAAGTGGGACATGTTGAACTTGACATCCATTTTAATTTGTTGGGAAGCGGGTGTGGACGATGTGATAATATTCTAATCGGTTATCTCTTTCTTAACCGAAGTACCGTCGCTTGTTCCCTACCCTATCCCGATACACCGTGCACCGGGGCTATAGACCCAAACCAAACACGTTATTATCGTTGACCATGCGCAATCCGCGCACGCGAGTAGAGTACAGGGAATCTCGCAATTTCAATATCGAGAGAGGATCTTTCACACGGCGTATTCATTCCTTCAAATCATCACCCATTGCCGATCATAAGCAACTCTCTAATTGCCCTTCTCACCATTGCCTTTTGCCTTGATTATAATCATCATCATGGCAAAAAATCCTTTCCCTGTTTTTTCGGTTGGTGCATCTGCTCTCTAAAGTCTAAGGCGGAGAAATGCACAAGACTCGCGAGTGTCAACGTTCAATCACATGGCCGGAAGAAAGCAGAGGATGCACGCAACGCAATTTGACCCCTCATGTCAAACGCTTCTAGATCTCTTACCCTTCAATTTCTGCAAGAGGTCAGCATTCAATCACATGGCTTCCCTTTCCTCTGTCTTCTCATTTATTTATTTATTTGTTTTCCATCGACATACCGAATTTTGTTTTCCCTCGAATTTATTCCGCGCTCGAGTACGAATTTCACGATAGTCCGGCTGTCACTTCCCGAGTGTCTGATATGCATCATTCTCGTACCGGTGGCAGCTTCCGATAAATCATCACATGTCGATTCTCTTTCTTTGAAAATAGGGAAAATGACACAAACAGTTCCTGAACTTTGGCCCAATGTGCATTTTGGTCCCTGAACTTTTAATTTGTTCGATATAGTCCCTAAACTTTAATTTAATGTGCAATGTGGTCCCTGAACTTTTAATTTGTTTAACGTCATCCCTGAATTTTTTGTACATGTTCAATTCAGTCACCGAACTATATGAAAATGTTCAATGCAGTCCTTTCCATTAATTCAAGTTCAGGGACTACATTGAACATTTTCATATAGTTCAGGGGCTAAATTGAACATGTACAAAAAGTTCATGGATGACATTGAACAAATTAAAAGTTCAGGGATCACATTGAACATTGGCTTAAAGTTCAGGGACTACATCGAACAAATTAAAAGTTCAGGGATCAAATTGCACGTTGGGCCAAAATTCAGGGACTGTTTATGTCATTATCCCTTGAAAATATAGAAGAAAGAAAAATGAGTATGTGCCCCGATACCTGCCATGAAGGGACCAAGTCATGACATATGAGAAGCCATAACAAAGAGTATAACCGGCTCTTTTAGGTACTCTGAATATTCCCCAGCCGTTCTGGTCCATCTATGGTTTTTGCAGCTTTCTTTGGACCTTTGTGGGGGAAAAGTTTGAAAAGAAGAGGCTTGAATGATACAATCATGCCGTCACCATGGAATGAAAAGGGGCGATCTTGTGATCCTTGGTCCGTGAAGGTACGGTATTAGGTATTTCAATTTATTTTCCCATTGAGGCCAATCTAAATTTGTGCTCAAGAAATAGTTTGTCCATACACTGATTAGGGATTGTATAAATTCTCGAGAAGAGAGGAGCCGTTCGCCTCGTGTTTAAGGGTGCGCGATTCGAGTTCGGTTGTAATTAAGTTGAGTTTGAACTTGGGGGCGGTTGTGGGTCGATGAGCTTTAGAGATAGTCAATTTTTTTAAGGAAAATAAGGTCATACTCAACCCATATATTATAATGCCAATTGAACTCATTTTCACGCTTTATCCTCCAACTTCCCTAGACTCGATCCTCGACCCATTTACACTAGTACGCCACTAATTATGGAGGAACATATGGCATTATAATAATTGCACGGTTCTTCCTTTTTTCCTTTAATAAAACAAGCGCGACCGTAAAAAGATCGGATTACCTAGAGGCTCAAACCGCTCCATCCGCATCAACCGATTAAGTTTGAAAACTTCGATCCGTACAAAGGGTCCCGATACAGAGTAATTTGCACGCAATTTACGAGATTTTAAACGGGGCGAGAGCTGACATATTTCCCGACGCCACAACCAATCACGCCAATTCGGCGGGTTCGATTTCTCTCCTTTTTTTTTTTTTATCTTTTTATATTATTGATGTTATCCTGCTAATATGTAGCATTAGATTTCAGCAATGATCTGCTAATTTGCATGCACGGGCATCACATTGGATTATGGCAATTGGAAAAGCATCGTCCAAAGCTAGGGGGGAGGGAAGTTTGCATTATTGCGCATTTAAATCACCCGAAATAAATATCTTCCTTGGACTGGCACGTCAACTATGTGAACATCGAGCTTACAAAGCTACTTATCATTTAAGGAAACCAATTGGTCAATGCTGCTCATGATGTGAATTAAAATTGCCATCGAGACGATATAGTGTCGAGCCCGAGCTCGACTGGACTCTTATATTCTATGCTAAAATCTCGGCTTGAGCTCGATCGAATATTCAGATTTCCACTCAAGCTTGATTACACTGGAGAATCGACATGTTTGAGTTCAACTCGACTATAATCAATTCATGAAGGAGCTCGAGCTCGATCTTGAAAAAAGAGAGGATAATGTGGGTATATTATTGAATCATGAGGGACAAACATGTCTATTTTGAACTAATAAATATATATTTTTGAAAAAAAATTGAAACTCGATTAGACATTTTGTCTTCGAGTCCTTCGTCGACAATTTTCACTTTTTTTTCTTGTGAGACAGATACATTAAAAACCTTAAAACTTGTCACGAAAGTGTAATCGAATCCTGAAGTGCCCACGAAAGTGCAATTGAGTATTAACATTTTTAAAAAGTGTAATCAAGGGAAAGACTTGAACGCGATAACACTTTTTGAAAGTTTTAGGACTCGATTGCGCTTTCACGACAGATATTAGAATTTAATTGCACTTTCATGACTAGTTTTAGGATTCAATTGCACACGCACGTATCCCCTTTAACTTTTTAATGCGAGAGGGAGAGAGAGAGAGAGAGGAGTCAAAGTTAAATTGCGCGGGGTAAAGAAAAAAAAGTGAAATCGAATCCTAAATCTTATCGAGAAAGCGAATCGAGCTTCTAAAATTTATCAAAAAAGAGCAATCGAGCCCTAAGACTTGTTTCAAAAAGCGCAATCGAGCCCCCAAGACTTTTAAAAAATGCAATTAACGGAAGGATTTAATTAAATAAATTCGACGAGATTTAAGACTCGATTGAACCTTTTTTAAAGTAATTTTAAGACTTGATTGCACTTTGTAACGAATTTTAAGATTTAATTATATATTTTAAAAAATTTTAGAATTCAATTGTACTTTCGTAATAAATTTCAGCACGCGACACCCTCATCTCTTTTTCAACTTTTTTAACGGGAGAGGGAGAGGAGTCAAAGTCAAACTTGCGCGGGTAAAAAAAGATCGAAACGGGGGGGGGGGGGGGAGAAGGTGTGGTCGTCGTCGTCGTCGTCGTCCTCGTCCTCGTCTTTCTTTCTTGTTAATAAAGCAGCAGCAGCAGCGGCGATTGAAGAAGGAGGCGTGACTGGTCTTCGCTTCGGTCGTCACCAACCACTTTTCTCCCCTCTCATTTAATCTCCTCCTCCTCGTCCTCCTCCTGCTGCTCCCCCTCTCTCTCCATCGTCTTCCCCCTTCGTCCTCCGATTCTCGCCTCCTCCTCCTCCTCCTCCTCCGCCGCCGCCGCCGCCGCCGTCCTCCTCCACGATGAAGAAGGCGGGCTTGAACCCCAACCTCAAGCTCAAGCTCTCCCTCCCTCCTCCCGATCAGGACACCTTCGCCAAGTTCCTGTAAACACTCTCCCTCTCTCTCGATCTCTCGAAGTGCGTTTTTTTCTTTCTTTCTTCTTTTTTTTTTTGTGTTGGTGGATCGCGTGCATTGTTGCTCGGTCCCTGTGATTCGCCGATCGGCTCGTCTGAATCTGGCTGGCGCCCCGGTGTCGTCGTGTCAGGACGCAGAGCGGTACGTTCATGGATGGCGACCTGCTCGTCAACAGGGACGGGTTTCGGGTCGTGTTGCAGAGCGAGGTCGAAGCGGTATGAGATTCGAACTGCTCAATGTAATTGGTGGATCTTACTTTGCTTGAATTGGTTTCTTTTGCGTCCTCGCATCTGGCTGAACTGGTTTGGATACTGAGGCGGCTTGGGAGGAAGCTGACGGTTCTCGCTTTTCGAGATTGAAGGCAAAATTTTTAAGTGGTTTTCATCGGTAGATATTTCCTGTGCACGTGTATTGGTGGGATGATCATTACATTTCTCCCGTCGATCTAGGCGTTTTGTTCCTGCATTCGTCTTCGTTTGTACCATCTCAGGTGTTTCTTACAATTCCTCTATTATGAATGGTTTGGTGAACTCTCTATAGCGTGGGAAGAAGCTCCAGTTGAGATGGAAGGAATTCCTTAATATCGGGGACGCAGAAAAGCCTCTCTTTTTTTCCCCATAGATAAGCGTCTGAGTTCATTATGTGGCTAGACATATCTTCATTCTTAGAATCTTAGATCTTTATAATGCTAGCCTCGCCAGAGATTATCTAGCTCTAGCTTATCAGTGAAGCTGTGTGCTGAGTTGCTTAACGCTAATTTGTTTCACTTGGATTGGGGAAGCTATCTAAGCTCCTAGCTGAGCTGATTCACAGCTTTTGTTTTAGAGTAATTCGATACTCTGTACTGAAACGGTGTGCATGTTTGTCTCATTTTGAACATCTTTTGTGGTCTCTCACTTTATGTTCAGACTGATCATAGTACTTGAAGAATATTCACTTTGTGCCTTGAATATCGTAATCTCTTGATGCATACTCTCGTGTCTGTTTCAGCCCCCCCTTATCAAGCCAACAGACAACCAGCTGAGTTTAGCGGACATAGACACAATTAAAGTTATCGGAAAGGGGAATGGCGGAATAGTCCAATTGGTCCAACACAAATGGACTGGGCAGTTTTTCGCATTGAAGGTATTGTAACCAACTTGCGTGCTTAAGCTTCCCATTTTTACTTAGTGCACCATTACTAAATATTACAGTGACTATGCTTTCTGTTATCCCAAATTTTTTTGCTGCTATAATTAATATCTTGGGAGAACAGATTCTACAGTTATACTTTCCAACTAACATAGCGAGTTTAGCCACTTACTCGTGTCTGAATGATGTAATTGGGCTCCTGGTCACGACCTATTCCCATTTCGGAGAAAGCTTCCACGTTGCTTTGACATGGAAGAGTCTTCTGTCAGGCTACTAGATTATGAAGCTTACATGCTATCAACACCATTAATGTTTGGTATCGTATGATCACACATTCCGATGAAGACCTATTCCCATTCTGGTGAAGCTTCCACGTTGATTTGACATGGAAGTCTTCTGTCATGCTACTAGATTATGAAGCTTACATGTTATCAACACCGTCTCATGTTTGGTATCATATGATCACATGTTCCGATGAAGACCTATTCCCATTCTGGAGAAGCTTCCACGTCGCTTTGACATGGAAGAGTCTTCTGTCATGCTACTGCATTATGAAGCTTACATGCTATCAATACCATCTAATGTTTGGTATCATATGATCACACGTTCCGATGCATGATTTCTCATGCTTTTCTGTTCAATTGTAAATCCAGGTCATCCAAATGAATGTTGAGGAGTCTGCAAGAAGGCAGATAGCACAGGAACTCAAAATTAATCAATCTTCGCAGTGTCCATACGTTGTGGTCTGCTACCAATCTTTCTATGATAATGGTGCCGTTTCTATTATATTAGAGTACATGGATGGAGGGTCGCTGGCAGATTTTCTGAGAAAAGTTAAAACTATTCCAGAGCCATTCCTTGCGGCCATTTGTAAGCAGGTGAAAAAAGATGCAAATCATCTATATGATTAGTCAGTTCTATTCTATTTTCTCTTCCGTGAGACTTTTCAACCTATACAAGAAAATTGATGTAGGTGCTCAAGGGTTTGTTGTATCTGCATCATGAGAAGCACATAATACACCGAGATATGAAGCCTTCTAATCTGTTGATAAATCATAGAGGAGAAGTCAAGATTACTGATTTTGGTGTGAGTGCTATAATGGCTAGCACATCTGGACAAGCTAATACCTTTGTCGGCACATACAACTATATGTCTGTGAGTAACATGCACTAATATTCTTTTGCTGCTTCTCCCTTCATGTGAATATATATCCCCTTTCACCTTACCCTTAATTCTCATGTTTGTTCCTCACATTTTTTGTAGCCTGAGAGAATCATCGGAAACAAATATGGTTACAAAAGTGATATTTGGAGCCTGGGCTTAGTATTGCTAGAGTGTGCAACAGGGAAGTTCCCATATACACCACCTGATCAACAAGAAGGATGGACCAATTTCTACGAGCTCATGGAAGCCATCGTCGATCATCCACCACCTTCGGCATCTTCTGATCAATTCTCTAGCGAGTTCTGCTCATTTATCTCTGCTTGGTAAATCTTCTATATCTTCTCCTCCATTCTTAATGGATTGAGTTGGCCTTTTTGTCTATTTTATGCAAGATCAAAGTTTAGCATAATAGCAAGGTATTGATGTGATGTGTATTTTCTACTTGACATGATCAATAGGTGCTTATTGGCTAATTTAGATCTGAAGTTGGTTGTATCATATCCATATCAGAATTTTGAAAATGATTCAAGCACTAAAAGATCGAGAAGTACTCACCCATGGGTAGCTCAGTTGGTTAGGGCGTACTTGGGATTGTGTGGTTAGGCGCACTGGTCCCAGGTTCGATTCCCCAGCTGAGCACTTGTGATTTAAGTGGGGGGCCATGGCGGTGGGTTGCTGTGCTAGTCTCCCCCGAGGAATAGTCGAGGTGCGCGCAAACTGGCCCGGACACTTCGGTTACCAAGAAAAAAAAAAAAAAAAAGATCGAGAAGTTAGTTTTGTTGAGAATGAGCATAGCTAACTCTCATTTTTGCTGCTCCAACATAGTGTACACACATATTGAATTGCAATATAAGTTGAGTTGTTTTTCATCTCGTTAATCTGTCATCATTCTATGCAAAACCTAATTTCTTCCCTGCAATGTTTTTCTTCGCAGTGTACAGCAGGACCCAAAGAATAGATGGTCTGCAAGTGAACTTATGGTATATTCATTATGTCTTCTAAAAACTTTTTGGTATCTCTTAGTGGCCCTAGTGGTCTCCACATAGAAGCCACTCCTAAACCCAATACTGAGCGAAGGGGATTAAACCTCTTTCCTTCGACCGCTCAAGGTGACTGGTGCCACTGCACAAAGTCACCAGGGTCATCAAGTCATCTCAATTGCCTGTCTTTAGTGTATCTGCACTTCAGGCATACTGACTTTGAGGGTGCTCTTTCTTGCTTTGATTTGAAACACAGGGTCATCCTTTCATCAGCATGTATGAGGACTTGAATGTTGATCTTGCTTCCTACTTCACTAATGCAGGCTCCCCACTTGCAACCTTTGAAACTTCGCTGGTATGCCTAGAGCCTGCTTTCTTGCCCATGCACATATGCAATTATCGTCTTGTCTCTTATCCTGTGTAAGGATAATGATTAGTAAGTCGAAAAATTTTAGTATGCACAAGGTTGAGGCTTACTGGAGTGCTATTTGTTTAAGAATGCATTGTTGTTTGAATATATCATCCATTTGTTGTCCAAACTATGCTTTAGATTTTTTGGTATATTTCCTGCTTATAAGTAATCAGAAAAAAGTGACCAGTCAGACCATTTATTTGAAAATTTGGTTTTTTTTAAACAGCTGGTGAATATATTAGTACCTGCAATTCCACAAAGGAATTGTGTTTTGGCTCCCAAAGTAGAATCTTTCCCATTTCAATTATTTTGCATGGTCTTGGAAACCCATCAGCTGTTAATTAAAATCACACTGCCAATTCTGCTGCTTTTACCGAAGATCTCTTGAACCGAGTGACTATGCAGCTGGCATGCTTTGGATGGTTGGGTAACTTTAGTTTTCTTGACAATCTATAGAGTTTCTAATAGGTTTTCTGATAGAAGAAAAAAAGAATTTCAAAAAAGCTCTTTGCCTTTGAAAGCCATTAGCTGCATTCACAGGCTAACTTTCTTCTATATGAATTAGTAACTGATGATCATTCTCCTTGAAGTAGGGGTTCCAGCAACTGGAGATCTTTGGCTCTCTCAGAACTCAGTGAGCAGTTTCGAGACAAATAAGTGGATAACTTTAGGAGCTGGGAACTATCTGCCCCGAGTCGAGTCTCTGAGTGTTGGCAGTTCAAGAGGATTTCATGGGCGTGATTACTTTGAGCAATGAAGGACAGCTGATGTAAATTCGCATTTTCTTTCTTATTGCAAGGTAGATTATTGGTCCTATGCTGGAATGTGATATGCGAGAAATCCTGATCAGTGCATACGTCAGTTGAGAAATGATCTTGCTAGAGGTCTGCAAAGATTCATGACGGAAACTATGAGATGGCTCTTTAAAGCCCGGAAATGGAGAAACTCGCGATATTAATAGCGATGATTTTGTCAGACCGTGCTTAAATACACTTCCTGCATCGAAGTATCATAGTTCTTTTTGAGCTAGTCGAATAGTTGGATTAAGTTGAAATTACGTTAATACGAGGATTTTCAGGCCCAACGCTGGACGAAGTTATTGACGGACTTCTAAGGTTTTTTGGCTTTTGACTAAGGTAAACTATTAGACATAATTTGTTGTTGATAAAGAAAATATTTTGTATTGACTAATTATTTTTTAAGAAAATATTTTTTAAATCATTCATCTTTCATGAAATAAATGGAGTCAGTCTCATAAATAACATTGAATGAACCGCATTCTTAGGATGGTCTTAGCAGTTCATAAATAGCACTGAACGAATTACCTTCCTTTTGAGCGTAGAGAAGGTCACTGCAATTCTTGATAGCAATTACCTAAAGTTGGTGAATATTACCAAAAAAGTTTTAAACCCATTGCATTCGTGCGATTTCAGTCTTAAATCTTGATTGTTTTAATTTAATTTTAAACCTTTTGACGATTTGCCAAAGTAATCCTTCCGACCATTTTTTATAGAAAACATTGACATGGCGGTTCAGTCAGGCCAGCTGTCCTATTTGGCGTACATGCGCTAATGTAAACAAATTTTAAAAAATTTTATGGATTTTTTTCCTTTTTTTATTTTTTGTTCCTTTTTCTGTTTTTGACCTTTTTGCAAGTGGCTGGAGAGGGCTGGGCCCTATCTGGGCAAGGCCGCCCTCGATGGCCATAGGGGAGGCCAAGCCGGCGGTTGATGAGGGCTCACATGCCCTTGCCCAACCGCAATAAAGACAAAACAAAAGAGAGGAAAAAAATTAGAAAAGAATAAATAAATAGTAATAATTCAAAAAAATCAATTTTTTTAAATTGCAAAAATTTTCCACATTAGCATCGACGGTGCCATGTAGGATGGCTGGCTGGCTGACTGGCGTCCATGTCAGTAATTTCCGACCAAAATCAATCAGATGGACTACATTGGCAAATGACTGGATTTGTCAAATTAAAATGTTTAAGACTGAATTGGTACAAGTATAATAGGTTTAGGATTTGGTAGTTCTCCCTCTAAAGTTGTCCTAACAAAACACGATCACCGACCAATCTCCAGACTTCTCGAGAAATAAAACAGCAAAAAAGAAGATAATCTCAACTTTTAGGGATCAATTTTAAGAGAATACATGCGACATCGACAATTGGATCCCATGCGATTTATCCTTAGTTGGCAACCGGTGATAAATCCGTGCCAAAGGCATGATGATGAGAATAACAAGACAAGAAAAATTATTTCAACCATTTTTTTCTAAGAGCCAAAGTTTACGATGAATATTCTGTTGATGTAAGGGAGAAAAAGATAGATATACAAGGAATTCAAATTTTTTTCGATGTACGTATTTCTTATATTAGATGTACGTATTTCTTATATTTATTAGTGAGATGAGTGGATATACATTGAGCATGTGTTCTATTTCTTTAATCATTTGAACAGAAATTTTCTAACATGCGAGACATCGAAAAAAGGAAGTTGAAAATATTAAGGGTGATTGATTCCCGGTCCAATTTCCAAAATTGGAAACCGGATCCAATCCAATAAAACCGATCACTAAGGATTTAGTTCACATTTTACTAATTTTTATCAATGAAGTTCACCTATGATTTAGTTCACATTTTACTCATTTTTGTCAATGAAGTGCACTTAGGGTTTAGTTCACATTTACTATCAGTCTGGTCTGATTCGGTTCAGTTCCTTCTTAGAACCGGGAACCAGACCGCCTAGACACCAATTCTAGTTTTAGGAACTGGGAACCGGACCGACACTCCCGAAAATCGGACCAAACCAGCAAGTTTGGGCGTCCCCACTTTAGGCTGTCCATTTTGCAACCCCCTAAAAAATATCACTTGTTTCAGATAATAATATGCATATCAAAAGTAGCTAGCTAGTCGATAATGTTCTTTTCATTAAAAAAAAATCACCTTTTTACGTGATAAATTAAGAAGCACATAGATGACTCGAAAGATACCGAAGGAACATATGATTAGCAGGTATGGTTTTGAACCCATATAATTATTAAGGAACACACTGCAAAAGTTACAGGCCAAGAAATTAACAACGCATGCACATAACGATGAAAGTCAAATTAACCGTGGAATACATATACTTTTACAGAAACACGACTAACACGAATTTGCACTACAAGATACCGTGTTTGTACCGTAATTTATCTCGTGCATTATTGCCATGTACATGTAGAAATAAACTTTTTGAACAGTTGCATAAGAATAAAGGAAAAACACACTCAAAAGCTTCTTACATTTTTGAAAAAAACTTGAAAGTGGGAGTGAATGGAGGTTGGAGTAACATTGAAATTAGGATGTAGACACAATTAACGGTTCCCATTCAACTAGCGCTGCAGTTCACTATATCACTAATTAAAAATTTGAAGAAGCTAAATAAATGATCATAAGTTTAGAAAATAATAAAATGATTAAGCGTAGTTAAGCATGACACGATGCCTTTTGGCGCTGCAAATAAAAGGCAGATACTGTCCATCTCAGAAAAATAACCTTCTCTAGCAGTTCCGATCGATGCATGCTCATCTCTTCTATTTGACTTTTATTACCTGCATATCGACATTGGCCTCCACCCCTTGAAACAAGGTGGAAAAACATCACATGGATCGAGCAAAAGCCAAACTGCAGCATTCAAATTATCCAATCATGGGAAAGATTTACATCAGATGGACTCCAATCATCAATTGTCGGCACAGAAATCATCAATTTGCAGAAAAGAGAAGAGTGAGTCCCTTTCTCATTTATCTTTTGGTCATTCTCCACAATGGAATCAATTAAATACTTCCATAATCCGACAAGAATGGCATCGACGTTTGTTGTACGTTCACTTACAGGCCTCACTCTGGAGTCTTGACATAGAACCTCCTTCCAGGTCGTGTGATCCTTTATATAACCAATTCCCCTTTGGAAACCAAATGAAAAGGCAGAAAAATACTACCCTGAGAAAATCAGACGATCACCTGATTGTGGGCACTTGCATATGGCAAATATACTTTGCACTGCAAGAAGAGCAGCAACACACAGTCCATCTCCCCACATGAACTTTTGCAATAGATCCCATCCGTGCTTGCTCATCTTCTCCATCTAGACCTGACAAATTCAGTCGTCTTCGTGTAATACAGAACTTTTGCATCCATGCTTGAAGATAAAGGAAAAAAGAAAACAATAGATAAACTAAGCAAGAGCTAACTACATGATCAGATCGTATCATTGCACAACTCACAAAAACCTCTTCTATTTATAATTTCAGTTCTCCCTCAAATTCTATCTTCATCTTCCCCTGTAAAATATACTTTCTACCACTTGGATACAGTATGTTGAAACTTCTTTGTTTAACGCTCATCAGACAAGCATGACACTGTAGATTGGCAGTCATAGAAACCAAACCTAAAAGCGACAGCATCTGCATGTATCAAGCAAGTGATTGCCATCGACCAGTGGTGCCAATTTTGCTGATAAGATCATTCAACATAAATGGCATTTTTTCCAAATAGCTGTCAAGTTGTGAAACCTCCAAAATGGTGTAGAGTGTAAGGTTCAGGATCTGCTTACAGTTTCCTAAACTATCTGGGACGATAGCACCTGCTTATAAGTGGTTGATTAGATAATCAGAAGATGGACAGCTGGGGAGCCAAGGATCCAAAAAGAAGTGTAATGTAGAAGCCACTCAAATATGGAGAGGAAAACCACTGTTCCATGAGGATAAAGGATAACTTAAGCCTATGCAAGATACAGTAACCTCCTGATCTCTTATCATATGGACTCTTCTGCATTTAAACAGGTCTGCCCGAAAAAGTAGGACCAATAAGGTTTCTGTTATAACCTTTCAATTGGCCCTAGAACAAAATTGTTATACAAGAGCCAACTAGTTCTCCCCACTGAATGAGTCTGCATTTAGCCAGTGAAGTGTACCTTTGCTGAGTCTAAGTAACCTGGGCATAAAGTGAGACAATATGTAAATTCCCACCCAAGAATGGGGGGGTTGGGTTTTGGTGGGGGGGTGGGGTGGGGTGGTTTCGTTGGAAGGTGGGGGCATGCAGGCTGCCGTTAGTGTTGGGTGATGGAAAACGGGCATGCTCGCATCTTCGTAGAGCTATCAAGTTAACAACTATAACTGGATTTTAAACAGCATTGGTGCAAGTAAAGAGGTCTAAGCATTTACTAGCAACCAAGAATAGTATAGGACAAGAAGAGATATATAAAATATGCAGAGGAAAGCATTTGGTGGCGAGGATAGACTGGATCAAAGTGCATTCTGACCCTAATGATGTTGGGCATCTCTGCATATAAGTATTATTGCATGCATCTTTGAACAAAGGAGGATAGGTCGGAAAGATATTTCAACTGAACATACGAGATTCTTTAGAATATCAATCTCACAATTTCATACACCCGCATGATAGATAAAGAGTGGAAGTCCAACAATTACCTTAAGCTCTTGCAATCAACCTCACCAGAAAAGACAGAAGTTCGTGGCCCATTTCACGACAAATGTGCATGACACAAATGGCTTCTGACAAAACGAGGAAGATCTTAGTGGTCCTTCTAACTTCTGAAGTCATAGGTTAATAAATATTTAAAAGTTGGAAACAATTTCAATGCATCTTTTACATTGTATAAACATTCGTCAGGCAGAGAGAAACCACATACTAAAGATAAGGTCTCCCAAGCAATGCAAATATATATGCTAAATCGGGAAAGATTAAGCCCAACTCACGCTACTCAGATTATATTTGCAACTGATGCAATGAGTCTTTAACATTTGCTACCTTCAATTAAAACAGACAAAATATCAGAAAGAATTACCAATAAAATGATGAAATCACCTAAAATATCAATACATAGACTTTGACTGTTATCCAAATCTACACATAAGAATGCAATTTGCCGGCAGAATTTTGTTAATGATCCTCTGTCTTTATAGCCAAGTACCTG